GTTACGTATGGCAGCTTTACGTGGGTTACGTGTGGCAGCCTTAAGTAGGTTAGGTGTGGCAGCCTTACGTAGGTTACGTATGGCAGCTTTAAGTACGTGAATTCTTTTTGTGCAGCATTTACTAATCAGATTTACTAATCAGATTTATTAATCAGATTTACTAATCAGATTACGTACGGTAAAGCACGTGCTATAGCCGAGCTAAGCACGTGTAGCAAAGGGACGTGCAGCATGCAAGGTTTCTTTTCGTGCAGCATTTACTAATCAGATTTACTAATCAAATTTACTAATCAGATTTACTAATCAGATTTACTAATCAGATTTATTAAGCGAAGCGTTCTTTCTTTGTTCCGCGTCGAGTTCGTGTTTTAAATATTGTAATTCACTTTTGTTGAATCGAAGCATTGCATCGATTATCATTAAGCGACGCGTTATTTTCTTTGTTCCGCGTCGATTCATTGTTTCAAATATTATAATTTACCTTTGTTGAATCGAGGCATTGCATCGATTATCATTAAGCGACGCGTTATTTTCTTTGTTCCGCGTCGATTTATTGTTTCAAAACGCGTTATTTTCTTTGTTCCGCGTCGATTCATTGTTTTAAATATTATAATTCACCTTTGATGAATCGAAGCAATGCTTCGATTACGATTAAGCTACACTTTTATTTTTATATAAGTACTCGCTCCTTTTCCTTTTCCTTTTCTTTTTTTCATCATCATCTCAACACTCAACTTCTCAACCTCAACCTTAACACTTAACTTCTCAACCTTAACCTCAACACTCAACTTCAACTTTTTAACCAACTTTAACACTCAACTACAACTACATTCAACTTAGGTAATTATTTTCTTTTTGATTCTTTGCTTTTTGATTCTTTGCTTTTTGATTCTTTGCTTTTTGATTCTTTGCTTCAAGCTAATTATTTTCTTTATTTAGCAATGTCGATTCCTCTCTTTTATAACGCTATAGTCGAAGTCAACCCTTTTGGCACTGATAGCAACAAGCTAATCAACGAGATACTTGGTCGCTATAAGGATTTCGTAGTCGTTTATGCTGATAGTAGCGTTGTTAATTCAATGTTTACTTGCTATGACGAGGAGGATACCGCTTTGTTTCTAAGACCAATCGGCCTCGAGTACGAATGGAAAGGTCGCAAAGGTTTTATCGACGAGTTCGGCATTAAGCACTACGGTGCTAACAAAGTTAGTAATAACATTTATATTTTATGATTACTGATTGATTTTTTATTTAGAAAGAAAGCGCTTAAGTCTTTTGTCTCTTCGATTACTTTGTCTCTTTCCTTAACGCAATTGGAAAGCAATTCACTTATAAAGATGTTAAGGTTCGATTGATTTTGGGTGATCTTACTCTTAAGCTTTTCGATAGCGATTATGCCGAAGCTAAAAGCATCTTAAAAGAGCTATTGATGCTATACCCTTTCACTATCGATAGCACTTTAGTATACAAACGCCTTACCTTCAAGTTCTCGGATGAAAATGAGTTTAGGTAGAGCAACAAATGCTAAAAGCTAGGAGAGCTATTTGAGTTAGACGAGATTTATTTGAACTATGCTTACAAGCAAGAGCTTGGGCTAAAGGCGGAGATCGAGTTAAACGTATTCTACGTAACTGCAGAAGGACGGGTCTTTATCAACTCTTTGTAACTAATAGACTTAGGCTAAAGAACGGGTCTTTACCAACCCTTGGGCCTTTGTAACTAGTAAATTTGACTAATACTTTGAGTCTCTGATTAGTAAATGTGATTAGTAAATGTGATTAGTAAATGTGATTAATAAATGTGATTAGTAAATGTAATTAGTAAATGTGATTAGTAAATGTGATTAGTAAACTTGATTAGTAATTATGCATATGCATATTTTTATGTATATAAACCTTATGGAGTAACCCCACGCTTTATAGGGTTTCCTTATGGGGAAGGGCAGAATTTTGTACCCCTCGTGGGTTCCTCCGTGGGGAGGACTCAAAACTCCGTGGGGCCCCATGGGGCCCCATGGAGCAGCCTAGTTAATTCTTAACTATAATAAATCGAAATAATACTTTATTAAGTAACTTTTTTAGCCGCGTAAGTATATATTGCGAGCTTTTTATAATTATTTTTTAATTTAATTACGATAAGTTGCTGATAAGTTTTCGTCTCGCTTATCTTTATCTTTATTATCGCTATCACCTTTTGCTTTTCTTATTCTTTTTGCTCTTTTTGCTTTTTTTACGAAAAAGCTCCGTTAAAGTATTCGCTAGGCTTTTAATCGCGGTAATACCGATAGTTCTTTTTCGCGAGGTTTTAATTATAGCAATACTTATAGTTCTTTAAAAGGTTCGAATCGTAACAACATTAGTAAATCTTCGAAAAGTGAGAGCAGTGCTTAAAGTGCTGCGAAAAGCTTTCGCATTATTCTACTTAGCTTTAAATTGTAAAGTCGAAAAGGTTTTTTATCGCGTATCGGCAGCTTGCTAAGTAGTTAATATAATAGATTTTTCGTATGCTCTTTTTAATTAGCTTTCGAATAAAGTCCGCTTTATATATATGATATGCTCGTATATAATAAATCGAAAGCATATAAATGTAATAACGTAAAGCTCTTTAATATAAAAAAAAAAAAAAAAAGTGTAAAAAAAAAGAAAACAAAGAAAATTAAACTTAAATAAAGAAAAAATTAAAAATCAAATTTAAATTCGTCTTTCTTTTTACGTATAATTATGCTTTTATAATTTAATCATTTTTTATTGCTTCTTTATCATTGCTTATAAAGACTTTTGCGTATTAGCTCCGTTGCTCTTCCGTAAAGCTAAGTAATCGAATGACAAATCTATTTAAGCGCTTAATTTAAAAGCCGGACTCGGCTACTTTATTTAATAAAAGCTGTTTTAAAGATCTTTTTATTTAAAACTTAAAGCGAAGTAATAACGCTTCGAAAGTATATCGCACGTAAAACTTTTTTAATCGACTATTAATAAATGTTTTATTTAATAAAGCTTTATTTTCTTTTAGCTTTTTTAACTTATTGTCACCAACGGTGACCCAAGATAAATTCCAGTAGTTATGGTGGTGATAAGTCATCCAAGGGTTGTAGTAGTGATTAGTCATCTAATCACGTGAGACTATTCTATACGGATCTAGCAAGATTTGTGAGCGTGCTAAGACTTTTATTCTATGTCAATCTATTGAATTTTTTTCGGAACGGGTCGGCTCGAATTAAATATGAAACACAGCTAAGCTTAATTCAGCCACCGCTATCAATTCTGCCGTACGTAAGGCTGCTATACGTAATCTACGTAAGGCTACTATACGTAACGCACGTCGCTAGCACTG